CCCCAAAACCCCAAAACCCCAAAACCCCAAAACCCCTTTTTTAAATATTAAATTGAGTCGATCAAAATTATTGGGGTCTGAACCCTTTGGAGCCCCTTTTACCATGAGGCATTCTATAAACGTCAGTGTTAATATGTTCTTCATCATCTTCATCTTCCTCCTCTTCATCTTCTTCATCATCGTCATCTTCGATGTGGTCAACATCAAGTTGGTCGAAGCCATGATCATGATGAATCTGGCTGATGCTTTCTCTTTCCCTAGAGTCCTTATAAAATTCATTGAAGTCAAGCCTAAAGCTGAGGTATTTTTCATCGATTTCGAGGATGCTAAGTGCCTCATTGAACTTGTCAAAATTAGCCCTGTAATATTTTCCAAGCTGCTTCAGAGTATTGCTGGCATCAGGAGAGATTACTTGGGAGTACTCATCTCCATCGTCCATCATTGATTGCCTCTTGTGGTATTCTTCAAGTGCAGATGAATAGAGAATATCTTGAGTTCTACTAAATTGATGAATCTGCTCAAATATTTTGATCATTAGTTGATAAAGTTCAATATGCTCATGAGTTAGCATTGCTCTTTTATGGATAACTTCGATGAACTTTCTCTGAACTCGCATGATGTCATACAAGTCTTCTGCATGATCTAGGTCTTCTTGGAATTTCTTCCACTCACTTTCAATAACTTCTACCTGGAGATATGAATGGAGGTTATTTATATAATGCAGCATCTCGTTTCGCAATAGGTTACATCTGTGGAGATCTGATCTAATCTCTTTCAATGAATATAGCTCATTCTTATAGCTTGTTTGCTGTACCCAGGTCTTGTTCAGAGAATGCTCAACTCTTTTTAATTTCCAGAGCAAACTGAAGATCTTGAGGTACCCCTGAATTATTTCAGGAGTAAGTATGGTATTGATCGGAGCATCTATTTTATAATCAAGTGAAAAGATATCCCATCCATTGTCACCAGGACTTGCTTCTAAAAGTCTGACATCTAATCTTTTCAGGAATTCTGAGTCTGTCATATTCGCATTTGATGATCTGACAGCTGATTCTAGAATTCCAAGTAAGTTATACTTATAGAGTTGGCCAGCAGGCTTCGATAACTCATTTACCATTGAGTCCATCAAGTTTTGAATGAAATCTCCTTGACCAAGAAGCAAGTACTTTCTAAGGGCTCTTCAGTGTGTCAGGAACTGGTATTTATCAAACATTAATTCAATAAGCTCTTTATTAGTCACTTTGTAAGCATGGTCAACCCAATTCTGAAGAGTTGAGTAACTATTTTCATCACTAGAAAAGGTATCTGCATTGAATGGGATATGTTCATTAGCATCAAGGACCCAATCCTCTTCGTGGCATCACTTTTTAATGAAGTTTACAGCTTTCCCTGTTAATAAGATCTTTCTGGCAAAATCATTAGTCAAAAATGAGGGAATCATTGAAGGTTTTAAGTCATACTTCTGAGTCCAGATAAGGTCATTAGGCACATTTGGATCCATGCTTACAAAGAATTCTTGGAATGGGTCATTAAGCTCACCTTCAATCATCCATGTTTTTATCATTGTCAATATTGGAGCTGAAACTTCTCTGAGCAATTTGGAAAGTAACATTTTTGTTACAGGGGAACCATGGAGGACATAGCTATGAATAGAGCTGATTATTGTTCCTCCTTTAAGTCCTTGTATCGAGTCCACTATTATTGCTAACCATTTCATCCTCTCCATAGGTTCCTGAATATGCAAGTATAACTTCCTGAGGTTTAATCAATTGGCAGGGTCTGTTTCGTCATAATTTTGATGCTGGTTTTCCAAAATTGCAATTAATCGATAAAATTCAGTAAGCTCTGCTTGGAAAGCAAATCACAGGCTCTGGGTAACTTGGTCTCAATAAGTAGAGTCAATATTTCTGTTCATGAAGTCATTAACTTTCTTATATAGCCATCCAAGCTCACACATCTCAGTTACTAATTTTCTGGTAGACTCTGATACATTGACATTAGGAGCAAGAACGAACGAGTCTTCTAGGATGGAGAAACTAATATTTTGGCCATCAATCCCTTGGAATACATAGAGGAGATCTTTACACAATGCTTCTTCAGAAATATCTTGACTGCGGTATCTGAAGCTTTTTAAAAATTGGAATTGCCCTGATTTGTTCTCATTATGAGGCTTAAAATGTGGCGCATCAATCTCCATGTCCTGCTCCTGATTTTCTTCTTTATAGTCAACGTTTTGTAGTAAGGTCTGCAACAGTTCTGATGAACTGTTGCTATCAGACTCGATGTTGCTGATTTTGTAGAGAATATAGAGAATCGAGGTCAAGTCACTCTTTGATGTAGTCCTATTCTTTCTCTTTTGATTTAATTTGCTATATAACTGCTCAAATTTTAGAATGTCCGAATTCTTTGTGCCGTATTTTGGCGATTTGGAAGATCCTAATTTCCGCGTTATTAAAGTTTTTACATGGTCAGGATCCTCAAAATTCGTCGATTGAAGTCTGGATCCTAAAACTCTCATAAAATATGATAAATATTTATTTCTTAGTCTTCTTGGTAGTACTAGATGGGAAGGAATTATCCACTAGTTTGGATATATCAGATGAGATAGTTGCGTAATTAGACTCCATTTTGAAATTGTTTTTAAATAATCTTCAAAATCTTACCTCAATTTTTCATCCAAAATTAGGGGTTTTGGGGTTTTGGGGTTTTGGGGTTTTGGGG